CCTACAGCTCTCAGGGAAGAGCTAGTGAGGCCGAGTCGAAGTCGGAAACTCACAAGTAAGAAGCTAGACGCTGCTGCTGCTGAGCTCCCTGCTGAAACCATAGTCTCTGGACCCAACTGGTTCCCCCCCTCTCAAAGGATCTGCCAGAACCTCTCCAAGGTACTCACTGAATTAACACACTCGACAAGCCATCAAACTGCCTGGCTAATCAAACTACTCATCTCTGCAGATATCAGTGATTCCAGTCCCAGACCTGTACCAGAACCTGATTATATTTCTCTGTGTGTGTACCTTAAATAAACTGTTGAACTTTTACCCCAGACTCCGTGGTGTGTTCTGCATGTGGGTTTACTTCCTTAAACCATTCATGACATGTCCTCTCAGGTAGGATGGCCTTCCCTCTATACCAGAAGGCAGTGTCATTGGTACACTTTTATCAGACACTTTTTGCCTTATTTTATATAAGGCAGACAGTGAGCTACAGCCGTAGTTTCCACAAAATGAGTCTCCTATCGCGCTGGGAGAATTACATTGGACCCTATGGGGAGCTCGCTGCTCCACAAATGTGCAGGAGGAGCAAGCTCTCCAAGTTGCAAAATAATTGGAGAGAAATATTCAAAAGCATCACCAATGAGAGGTGGATTATTATCATATGTATTGGATTCGAAAATAATACTGAGGAATTTCCAAAAGCCTAAATGACAAATGGCACCTCTATTCTATTATTAGAATAAGAATAAAATGAGCAATGGCTACACTATAGATCACTGTATTGCCTTGTAGGATAACAGATAACCTCACCTGGATCATACTACAACTTACTTTGAGAAGATAGGCCAAACTTTATATTTAGAGATTTTTTGTTTGTTATTATAAGCATATAATAGCCAATAATTACAGTATGGATCATTGTAGTGCCTCCAAGCATAGATAACCTCATCTAGTTCACACTGCAACTGTTACTTTGGGAAAATGTTCTAAACTCTATTTTTGTGTTAGATTTTTCATTGTTATTATAAGCATATCAAAGCCAATAATTACTTATGACTTAGACAGATTTATTTAGTCATTTTGTATTCACAAGTGTAAACAAAAACAAATTTTGTTTAGAACAGCTCTTGACAATTTCATATTTTAAAGTGCAGCCTTGAAAACAGTAGTAAATACATCAAATAAATAGTTATATAAACAAATGACTGTATATTTACAGTTCTAAATTTTTTTCTTGAACCGTCAATCCCTCGATTTCAGGGCAAACTCCTACATCCGACCCCACTGTCGCCCTATAGATTGTCACTCTAGATCATTGTAGTGCCACAAAACTTGTAGCACACATAGATAACCTAATCTAGTTCAAACTACTACTCTTAATTTTAGAAAATGTACTAAACTCTATTTTTTTTAGAATTTTTCATTGTTATTAAAAACAGGCCAGGTGTGCATTCTCTGCAGCAGGAACCACAGCGCTGAGCGTTGTGTGCTGGACAAAGTATACCTGTCACATATTACTGCATGAAAAGTGAGATTTTCGTCCCCGTAAACCCCCGTAAACTCGCGCAGATCTCCCTGATTTTCGTCAGTTTCCGACAATTTGCAACCCGCGCTTATCCGCGTTTGTCGTGCCACAAATTGTTGGAAACGGACTGACGTATGTGGAGAGCGATCAGCTTTACTAATGGCCCTAATTAGCATATGAATGCAGCAAACCCGTGCGGCTGGCCAGGTCTGGCTTGAATAACCTACTCAGTATTGGCTGAAACCACTATTCTCAAACAAGTGAAATCGCTCGTGATTGGCAGCAAAACCACACGTGGCCACGCCAGGCTTTAATTTTCTTACTGAGTATTGGACGGAACTTCTTTTTAAACAAGTAAAGTCGCTCGTGATTGGTTGGCATATATATATATATATATATTTACATATAAATTTACATATATATATATATANCACTGTCGCTACAAGCATGCTTAGTGTGAGGGATTGCTGAAGAGTCAATGAGTCGATGCAATCAGCTGGTTTTCCTTAGATAGAAAACTTTGGATCAATTTGACTGGATGGTCAGGTTGAACTGTTGGGTGCCTTGAGATAACTTGTGTTGTGAATTGACGCTATACAAATAAACTGAATTGAATTAATCAGCCTTTTTGTCAACTCCATTAACAAAACCTTTTCTTCGATGTCTAGCAACTCTAGATCCATCTCCAGACCGTGATATCTTGCGTACGTGCCATTGTTGTGTTTGAAAATAAACAAACCTGCTGGCG